ACTGAAAGAACTGGGCATGTTTAGCCTTGAGAAAACACTCCTAGAAAGTCAGTTAACTTTTTGGAGATGCTGTGGGGCAAGCTTAGCACTGAAGAGCTTGTTGTCAACTCTAGAAAATAACTTTAAACGTGTTAACCAAGAATCCTCAAAAGGTGTAGTAAAGTACTGCAGGGCTTGGAAAGGCGATCCTAGTGGCCTGGCTGGCTGATGGATTCTGAGAATTATAGACCAAAGAAAAGTTACTTTTCTGAGCTCTCAAACTCAGTGATTCACCACGGACAAAGGCCGATAAATAGAGACAGCTGGAACATATGGCTTCCTGCTTTTCAGCTCAGCAATATCTGCTGGAAAGGGGGACATGCCTATCAAAGCTGACAAGTTTCAGCTAGCTATAAAATAATTGCTATCTATTGCGGCATGGTTTGCAAAGTTCACAAACAGAGTGTACTTCCTATTTGTCTGATATTGCAAAAAAAAAGTTTAATTGAAAGATGTGATACAAAGCTCAAGATAAAAATCAGAAATGCTGGAGGCAGGTGCAAATGCCTCAACAAACTGTCACTCAGTGCCCTCTTTATTAACAAGTTCTGATGTTGCAGCCAGGCGGATCAAATTATTCCTTTAGTTTATCTACCTAGATAAACTGTATGCATTGAAAATTAAGACCTTCTTCTCTACCACTCTGTCTTGGTAATGACTATGCCAAAATCATGCATATTGACTGCCGAGTATAACTATGGCTGCTGCAGAGTGTCTTTTGGCTGTAATAATGTTAAAATTACATATTTTACATCCTCCTTTTCCCAGGGCCCTACTTGTCTTTGTTAAGCATTCCCCACAACTAATCGCTCTTTTGCTCAGTGGTAAAAGGTGACTTAGGTTTTCTCCCTAATTTTGTTTCTTTTCTCCTCCAAGGGGGTAATTGGTGAACCACAGCCTGCTAAATAGATTTATCACCAGTGGCCAAACATGCTGATAAGTTGCAAACATCCCTTTCTCAGTAGGGGCCACTGCAGAGCATTAAATAGGGAATCTGGGAAGAGAAAATGAGGACACCGTGGCAGAAAGAACCAGGTAAAAGTGGGAGATAAATGCTTCCTTGGAAGATTAATCCATCGTTTAGTCCACTGTTAGAGTAATAAAAACGTTTTTGATTCATTTCTTATGTTAGGATGGAGAAGGCAATTAGTAATTGCTGGATTTATAGTATTTGTTGTGTGAAGTCAGCCAATAAAATGTGGAGAAATTTATTTTTTTACCTCTCCACTCAAGGGTACTCCTTGCAAATATATGCTTTTTGTGTATTACAGTTGTTGTGATGTGTCTTGTATGTTATAATGCAATGAATTGGAGATGGCTTGAAATATCGCCATAGGATTTGCTGTTCCTCCAACTACAAACGTCTCACTTGGGTGTATTATAAACCCTCCTTTTTTCACTTTTTCGTTTCATCTGCCTAA